CTGGTGCCGGGTCCTCGGTCACTGACTGAGGACCCGACACAGTTTTCCCTAAGGCGGTTTAGGCACCCGCGAGGCCCCAGGCAGCGCAAGGCCTTAGGCGACCACCTAAATCGCCTAATTAGAGAGCCACCTCTGCTTTTCACTATGCCAGACAGCATACTGGAAGCTTCTACCTGCTAGTAAGAAGGTAAGGAAAGAAGTGAACAAGTGAGTGCTTGGGAACTGTCCCAAGAAAGCGCTGAGGGAGCGCATCATTAGATGCATTTGCACCAAGCTCAGGATACTGTCTGCTTTGTATGCCCTTAGTTAGCCAGCCTGCATGATTGGCAGGCAGCCTGACATGCATTCACACCAGGCCGACCTTCTAAATCTTTGGGCAGATCTGCTTCCCCCCTTTCTGGGCATGTCCGCCCATTTAGTCAGTGCCAGTCATGTGAGTGGTCCACACTTTTACCCCTGAAGCAACGTCCTGCTTCACCGGACTCTGCTGTTATGGGGTATTGATTTGATTGAGATATGAAGGGTATGTGTTTTATTGTAGCTGCATCCTGTGAGTTCACCACCACCTCCACCAGATACATAATGTTTGGGAGGTATGACTGTTTTAGTATTTTTTTGTTGATAAGATTCTGTAATTAGGCTCATCATAATTGTCAGCACCAGGTTTATACCTTGTATAATCTGGCTTTGCTTTTACCAACTTAACTGGATAATACTGGACAATATCAAACAATTTATTGAGAAGAACCTGACAATCATCACTTGGCAATGCTCTCTAGAGTTTCACATCATTGCCATGTAAACATTTGGCTACAAGTCCCATTATTTCAATTATAATGTTGCCCTAATTCTCTTATTTATTTGGGTCAGATTGCCAGGTGCAACTAGCTAGTGTGGTTGAATGGTATAGCTTGTGACATTCCAGATGTGCCAAATAAAGTGGTTAGTCCATGAAGTTTATGGCTGAACCTACTTCTCTCCAGATTCCACTCCTTTGTGCATGTACAGTCTTTGGCTGTAATACGCTCACAACCACTCAGAATTGTTACAGAATTATATTTTTATTAGAACGTAATTGAGATGTTGTAGCAAAACAATAACACTGTTTTCATTGCATAAAGGTTATTGGTGAAGCCATTGAAGCTTACCCCAAAGCAACTCGAATTGACTGGGTGAGGGAATGGCCTGGACAAACTGTGCTTTGCGTATCTCAGTGTTTCTGGACTCAAGACGTTCAACTGTCTATCAGAAAAAGCCAAGAGGTATGAACATTTTGATAATAAGCAATAAGCCTTGCTAATTTATTTTTTGCCATTTGATTATTTGAAGCAATGCCTAAATGGCATTGGCAATTTACAATATGTTTCAAAATAAAAATCTTACACAAAATAAGGTCATACTGTGTTAAAGAGTAAATAATATCTCATATGTAGAATTCCCCATTAAATTGAAATATTATGTACTTTGAAAGACTGTTAAGAAATAGCCTCAAACTTCCCATTAAGAAGATGGTAACTGTTTAGTGAAGCACAAATGTTAAGAAGTATTCTGCTGGACTGTCCAATCAACAGATAAGTGCACATTCATGTGCATTGGACATCGCATTGTCACACCACCATGCTATTGCACACATACAGTTCATTTTTATCTTCTGTGCATGTGCTGCTATTAACCTGTCAGAGCGCTAAATAAATAATTATTGCTTCGGACGCACAAAAGCTAAAACATGTTGAGGAGTATATGGAGTGACAGTCTGACAAATTTCTGGAGAGAACCTGTCTGCCAAGAAATTGCTACTATGAATAGAAAAAAAAGGAGAAATAATCCTGAAACAAAACAACACAACATCTCTTGCAACTGATTTGAATGTAAACTCGAATGCTCCACTTGTATTGAATCCTTTACTTTTAGCATGATAATTTCTGCCTTATTATTAGTGTAGAAAACATTCACTTTAAAATAACAATGTATTCCAATATAAGTAAGTTATGGTACAATATATTGGACGGCTCTAAAATCTCAAAGAATGAAGTGCATGAGGTTGTAAATCAGTAAATAAAGTGACTTTGAGGTCTGACATCAATCAGGAATACAAAGATCAATGAGAATTTCAGAATTACTTTGTGTTTGTATCCTTTTTATACATTCTTGTCTTTTTTTTGTTCTAAATCCAGGCACTTGAGGCATACTTGGAACAGAATAATAAGCAAATT